GTGTGCGTGTCTGCATGCATAAGTATATATGAATATATATTATATATGCGTGTATATATGTACATATGTGTGTGTGTGTGTTTATAAAAATATATATCTATAGTGTGTGTGTATGTGTGTATAAAAACATATACAAATATGTGTGTGTGTGTGTATGTATAGATGTGTGTGTGTATAAAAACATACAAATATATGTGTGTGTGTATATGTATAGATATGTATCTGTGTATATAAATAGAGATACTGTGTGTGTGTGTGTATGTATGCGTGTATATAAATTATATGTGTGTGTATGTATATATATGTATATGTGTGTGTGTATAAAAATATATAAATATATATATAATGTGTGTATATAAATAAATAAATAAATAAATATATATATATATTGTGTGTGTGTGTGTATGTGTGTGTATATATATTTTTTTTCTTCTTCACAGCAGCACTGGTAACATGCTTTGATTTATTTCAGCGAATGCTCTGGATAAAAGGGCAGGACTAACAAGCGATGGGATTTTTGTTTGTTTGCTTGTTTTTTTACTTCTGTTCCCCAGCGTTCATCTGTTAACGCTAGTAACTGACGATTCGGTTCTGTTTTAAAGGGATTATTGCCACGCTACGAAGGACAAACATCAGTTATAAAATATGAATAAAACCAACCGTCCGCACTGTTATTAATTGAATAGGTCACGGCTTCCTAATAAAAGTATATTTGACAATGCTGTGTGCGTGCATATTTCAATAGAAGATACTAAACAGATTATACAACTATAGTTGTTTAAAGTGTTTCACATTTTAAAAAACTTTAAGTAACATTAGTTGTTATACCTATAATTACCCAACAGGGCAAATTACTTACTCTTTGCTATGCATGTTATTGGAGGAAAATGTATTTTTTCAGACCTCTCTGAGATGAAAACTTCTGCTGCCTGAAACTGTTTCATGTTTCGCTTAGGTGCATCACTTGCACCAAAAAGTCACTCTTTCTTCTGTAGTTTGCTCTATTTCAGTAAATCCCCCCATCTCTTTCATATTTGAATCCTGCTCTGCTGTAAATGCTTTAAAAAACAGTGTTGCAAGGTTCTTTTTTCCCTGGTTACTGTCCTTCAACGGGATGAACCAAATGGAAAAATTTGATGGTTGGCACATTTAACATCAACAAAGTGTGGTGAGGTAAATATTCCAAAGGCCTGAAAGTGAGACAGTGGAGAGATTTGGACCAAACCTCATCAAGCACAGAAATGACGCTAATCTCATTTGTAGGTCTGTGGGCTGATTCTGTCTCTGTTCTGTCCCTGGGCGCAGAGGTAAGGCCGGTGCTTAAAGAAACTGGGCCCATCCCTGAGCTGACCGAATTTACAAAAGGGCCACAAGCAAATAGCATCCTGAAACCTCCAAAGCGCTTCCCTGGGGCCTGAGCCTGCTGTGCTGCACTGTGAGAGATGCAGTACAGGCTCCATTCCCACCAAGCCCCACTCTTCTTTGAGCATGAATTACACCTCAGTGAAGTTAAATAATAAAGTTATCCTTTCATTGGGACTCTAAATATAAACATACATTCTAATACTTACAAGTTTTGGAAAGGTAAACTATGGGAGGACAACCAAGAAGCTAATACGAACATGAAAATTGTAAGCAGATCATGCACTGAAAATTACCATACGGATTTCAGAAGCAGAGAGTAGGCCAAGAAAAATCACATCTGCCTCAACTGCAGCCAGTAATGGTTATTACGTTAAAGCCTCTGCTTAAGAGTGAATGTGATTCAGTTGTTGTTATGCCTAGTTGGTGAGTTCTTTAACTTAAGTCTGAAAATACCAGACTAACAAATTCTCCGTGCTCCCTACCAGCCAGCAGACCAGGCAGCACCCACGTGACTAACACATAGGCTGGACTCAGCGCTGTCAGTAGGGTTGCCAGATACATCATCAAGTACAAGACATATGCCATGTATCTCATATTAAAAGCATATGAGATATTCTCTTATTTCCTAAATGCTTTTAAAATTGAATAAGGGATTTGAGTATGAAGGATGGGAAATCCCACTGCTGTCTGTGCTTTCCCCCAACCCTCTCCTTACAGTTTGCTTTGATGCCTTAAACTATATATTACATAAATAATATAATACCATGGCCATAGCAGCTGCCGATGGGGATGGAGAGGACCAAGCACATGGGGTGCAAGGTACTCGGGGCAGGGTGCACTGCGAGCAGAGCAGCCACGCCAGGCTGTAAGGAGCAGAAGGAGTGACAGCAGTAGGGCAGCAGGGTTTTGGGGGGGCGGGGGTGAGAAGGACACCAGCGACAGGCCTGTATTTATAAATCCCACATTTGGCTATCCTGAGCTGCCTATTGGCTTAGATACTGGAGGTAAAGAAATGGCTAATCAGACAGACCGAGCTCCAGGCTTACAACGCACTCGGTGTGAAGGCAGGCCTATGCTTGCACGGAGGCCTTTTTTGTTCAGGGGGCCCCAACTGGGCTTAGCAATTCGCGAGCATCGTGCCGCATCTTCTATGGAAACCTTGATGTTAACAAGCTTTGGAGCAAAGCAATGGACACCACAACATTACAAGCTTGTTATAATGTATGTATCACTTTGATATTGCTTCCCCCTTTTGACTCAGTTTGTCAACTTTTAGACTTCTGGATTGTTTCTTCTTTTAGACTTCTGAATTGCAGGAAAAACCGGTGACAGAATCGTATGCGTCTTGAATACAGTCCTGCTAATGAACAAAGACTGCAGAGAGAGCTTTGTTGTGCCCAGCACAGTGGGATTTAATGACAAGAGAAAGCTTTCTTGACTGCATTCCCAAACCTCACTTTCAACCAGCACTCTGCCCCCCAAAAAGCTCATTTCTTCGTTTATTCTCTCTCTGAGCCACTACAGAGCCACTCTGAGAATCTACAAACGATTCTTTTATTGCCTCCTTGCTTTCATTTGCTTGCTGCTGTTAACACAGATCTTTAATACAGACACATGTCTAAACCCAAATCGAACCCCTGCCTCTTACTTGCTACCAATCTGTCTTCAGACAGTGCTCTTTCCAGTATTGGGACCAGCAGGAAACAAAGAAACATTTAGCTGTTAAGAACAGGCTATTGCTTCAGACCAAGGGTCCACCTAGCACAATATTAGCTTGACTGTCTTGGAGATGCATCTTTCTATTACTCAACCTGACAGAAGGCATGACATGTCTTTTGCTAAGAAGATAGAAAACTAGTGTTCATGAAGTCAAGGCTTCAGGAGGTTATAAAATGTGCTGAATACATGCTGTGGTACAAACAGACTCTGAAAATGATCCAGCGTGGCAAAGTCAAGTTGGCCATCGTTGCCAACAATACTCTTGCTTTCAAAAAATCAGATACTCAATACTGTGCTATGCTGGGAACGGTTACGTCATTACAGCAGAAAAAACACAAAATTGGGAACAGCATGCTGGAAATACTACAGCACGTAGTATTGTTGTTCCCTCACTTGGCCTAAAACGAAAGCACCTACCATGTCCATGAGCAAGGAGGCACTGCCTGTGACTGCCTACAAGTCAAGGACGCCATGCCTGGGAACCTGTCATAGTCACACGGTTACCTACTTTATGTGTGAGTATACAACTTTTCTGATGGGTAATATACACTGTTTTCTTGCTTTACTGTGGATGTCTATCATGTTAATTATCCAAGATAGAAGGTGGATAACTATCATTATTACAAAATTCTTTTAAACATACCAAAATATAATTAATATTTTCAAAGAGTAATTACATAAACAGAGATTCTAATTGAGGCTGCCTAATACTTTCCCCTGTAAGACAGTCTTTTTAATTGGTTATAACTTTGATTAATTTAACCAGTTTTCCTTCCAAGTAAATGCCCCAGGCCAAGTGTTTTTCGTGTTTCTTTTTTGTTTGTTTTTAAATGAATCTGTGCAAGAATAAGAGCCATTCCTGGGAATAATAAGAAGGAAATTTAATTTTAAGATGACTTTAAACTTGCTCTGGCAAAGAAGCCAAACCATGAATTAATACTTCTAAGTATGCATGATGGTGCTGGGAAGTTTTGCATAATCAACTCCTGAAAAATGAATTAATGCAGCAGATGACAGCCATACTTGCTAAGAGCCCGACTGGTAGTTTGCTGTGGTTTGCTTAAACACCAGCCAGACCATGGCAAGCACTCAGCCTCCCCAAAAACGGAGGTTCACAGGCACTTTGTCCTCTTCCAGCAACATTTTCCTAGGCTTTCCGACCATGTGGCTCTACCGTGTCAGCGCGAATTGGCCCCTGAGACAGCGGTCACAACATCTAGGTTATTGGGGCCAGAGACGAGGGGATGGCAGCGCACGAGCAGACAAAGGCGGTTCGCTCCCCTATCTCGAGGCCAAACGCGGCAAGCCCGGCCCCATGCCGCCCCAACGGCCGCGGGCTGCGACGCAGC